GTTTCCGTGCAAGTCACCAAGCAGTGGGCTGATTTCGGTCTAGGAGTGCTGATGGGCCGGACAGCTGCATCTCTAGGGATTGATCGGGAATCGGTGATGGAGAGCGGTTATTGAAGGATCGCCAATTCCTAGCCATAGATACAGTGCCAAGGTGGATCGATATCACCATCAGAGTTCCCGGGCATTCTCCACCGACGTCGTAGGCCGATAAGCTCTCGGGACCGCCTATCCGCACCGAAGTGAGTGCACCCGCCGTTCTAGCACCGCCGAGTGGAACCCTGCCCAACCCTAATGGTACGCTAAGAACACTACCCGGACAACCCATTAGGAACTGTGTAAATAAAGCTCAACCGCGCTTCGATTCAGGATCCCATACTTCAGCCTAATAGAGCATAACCTTAAGATCGGATCATATCGAGCCCTACCAATCTAGTGCCCCTATAAAACTACAAGGTAGTTTATAGAGAGCTCCTTGGTGGTCCCATTCTTTCTGGCCCTGTGATCACAGACTCTAGATCCTCGCCGGAACATGCGCAATGCCAATCGGACCACGGAGACCAGCCATCGGACGACTAAAGCTCGCTAACATGGGCATATAGACTAGTTGAGGATCTTCCACCGGGAACAACCTCAGAGTTACCTTCCTTTCCTCCCAAGGTACCCGGAACTCTTTTGAGGGGGTTCCTGATAGGAAGAGGGATCAAATCTACTTATATCTGAGAACTTCCTAGCCTGCAGTGTTACATCTTTATCATATGTGTGCCCATATTGAGCGCCACAGTACCGGCTGTAGGTGGCCAAAGCACTGGAGCTTTTGTCTGGTACTGGATAAAAATAGTAGCATACAAGTCTACTTCATGTTACATTGCAAATGCATGCCATCTCAGGTCAACCTCACTTTCTGTCAGTTTAAGAGGGGATGGACATCATGAACGAAACGGAGGGATGAATTCAGAGAGTCTACAGGAGATCTCATAGGTGCCGAATCTATACAGGCAACTTTCATTGTATCACTGGAAGCGACGGCCAAAAACCTAAAGCGAAGTCTGGTGTGTCTGGCTAGCGTACTCTAAATAGTTTGATCCAGGTACAGGAGGTTCCTGTCCTATTAAACCAGGTGATGGTATGGTTCCTCAGTGCTACACAGCCATGAACGTCGTATATCCATCGACCATGACGTACAATATCTCTCCATCTAGACCGCGCAACCCGTGGGTGAAAGATTTCGAGTCAGACAATCGTGGTTTATACCAAAGTTTTTTCACAAAGTCCTTGACCTTCTTCAAAGGCCGAAGACACCTAGCTGCTTATATTACCAGAGCGTGCATCACCCCTGACAGAGCCTAAGGACCAGACAAGAACCACGTTCTGTAGGAGCAAGGAGGAATCCCTGCTTCCTTGATACTGTCAGTCACTATGTCGTGCTTTCGACGTCTCTTTCTGCTTACCTGTCTCTTCTTCCTCTGGGCTATCTCTTCCGATGCATACCGGCCCATCAGGAAAACCTATCGACATATCGTCCCACGCCAAGGCACTACTCGGGTCACTTCCATCTCCTTCTCGCCTGAAGCCGAAGATGGCTGTTTCCCTTTCAATGTCGATGGCTCGGATTCGGGCTTGACCGCCTGCGTTGCAATCCAAGGCGATCAGGTTGTCGTGACTTATCCCGATATCTCGTCTCTCGGCGATAACTATGAAGACATTGGTGTGATCATCGGGACAGGGCCTACGGACGAGACTAACCTTGCTGGGGCTCAATTCACCTTGGAGAACGGCTACTGTACGATTGAGGGTACTTCGGCTTCTTGCTCGATCCCGATCTATGAGATTACCTACAATCCATGCTCCGGCACTATCTGGAATATCCGAATCATTGGCGACCTCACATCGGGAAGCACTGGAATTGCGGACGGTCAGTTCAACTTTGGATGTGGTGTCATCCCCACTAGCTCTCCTACGACCACTACTACGACCACCACTACTACGAGGCGGCCTACCACCACCACCACTACGACTAGGCCAACTACCACTACAAGGCCTACCACCACCACCACCACTACGACAACAACTACGCCTACAACTACCACGACAACGACAACGACAACGACAACGACGACAACGACTCCCGCCACCACCACTACGACGCCTATAGTGCCAACTACAACGACCACCACCACGACCCCTATTATACCAACTACTACTACAACCACCCACCTCTATTATTACTGACTACACGACCACCACCACCACTACGACACCTATAGTGCCAACTACGACGATCACTAGTTCGACCCCAATTATACCATTACACGACGACGACGACCGCCACACCACCCTAT